GGTTAGCTTTCCCTCAGTCAGAACTGAGCACACACTGTACATGTGAAGCTGTGTTCAACCAGAACTGAACCAAACCAACTTCAGTTCTTACTTAACAGCCCAAATAAGAACTAAATCCAACCTCTAATGATTCACCTGTCTGATCAGCAGTGTGCTGTCACTAGAGGTAAAGGCATAGAAAGTAGCAATCCATATGCATGATTCTGCCAAACAAAGCACACATTCTGGATGCATTACATGACAATCTGGTTTCTTTAGCAAATGCAGCATCTGTTAACAGTCCTGTTCCAATAAAAAAAAAAAAAAAAAAGTCTGCTATTATGTAACAGTTGATAATCCCCAGTCTCCAGAGTGGTTAACCTAGATGTGTGTGTGCATGGTTAAAACCTCTGCTGGCCAATTGAAATCTGACTTTCTTAACTACTCATTTATAATCATAGAGCAGAACAATGACAAGTTGTTGAATAGAAATAAACCATCTCTTTCTAACAAGCAGTGTTAATTAATTATCAAGACACCCATAGAGCCCAACAGGATCTCTATTATTTTCTATCATATACCTACTTATTTGGTATCTGTGAGAGCACCTGGAAACACAGATTCCAGTCAGTCCTGTAGCAACTGAGGTGGGATATGCCTGCAGATATGCAGTGAATGAATCTCTGCCTGCACAGGGGTTGTAGTAGCTTCCTCTGGCAAGAGGCTTCAAGGCACACAAGTGTTTTCTAAAACACCATGAAGATGGGAGAGCCATGTGGGAACTACTGAGGCTGCTCACATCTTCCCTATACTCTGGAAAACAAAAGCAACACAGAACTGAAAGCAAACATCTTGGGCAGACACCTGTTAAACAGACAGAAGAAGAGCCTGCAGGACCATACTGCAATGCATTATGAACAGCAAAGCACAGAACCAGCCCTGTTGAAGGGGCCTGGTTGCAGGCTATTTGGTGGGGAAGGCTGGGGAAAAGTAAGCAGGAGAGAATGCAGAAGGTGCTTAGAAAAGGGGATGAGACTTTCATGGTGAAGGAAGGGATTCAAACATGTTAGAGAGGCTAAAGGGGATGTAAGAAGTTTGGAGGTCCCAAAAAAACACCAAATAATGGAAGCTTACTAATGCAACACATTCTGGGACATGCTGAGCAAGAGGAAATCTTGCCTGGGAAGGATCTCAGCAGGTCTGTGCCAGCTGAAGAAACAAAGCACATCACTGTCAGTTAATTATGTGAAGGGAACCCTTGGCCATTCTGTCAAAGGAACAAGTCAGTCCATGTGGAAAGGCCTGAAGGCAGGGAGGGTAGCTGCACCCAGGCAGGCACTCGTGGGTGGAGGGGCTTCCCTACCCCAGCCTGTGCAGGGAGATTCCCTCTCCCTCAGTAGTCACAGGAGAGTTGTTTCTCAACTTCATGCAGCTGCAGGCATCACTGTCCCAGGACACCAGTCACTGAACGCTTCCAAATGTCAGTGGAATCCTTTGGTCAGCCTTGTCTGATCAAAGGATGGGAGGGGACTGGGTAATGATGCAATTCTGCAAGACAATTCAGGAGAGAAGAAAGATGCAAAGTCTGCCTCTGGGATTCTGCTGACATGTACAGCAGGCAGGCTCACCTGTTCTGGTGTACCAGTACCTTGTACATCAGGCAATTCTGGTTTCTGCTGCAAGGTTCAGCCCACCACCCACATCAGTCATGGGGAAAGGCCTTCCAGCTGAAGCAGAACTCAGGGCAGTATAGATGCTCAAACTGTTCCCCTCTATAGAGAATTCATTTTAAGGCTCATGGCTTCACTTTGGCAAAGCAAGCAGAATTTACATTTTTTACATATTTGTCCTGCCATCATGAAGGCAGAGGAAATGAGTATCTAGATCACAGAATTCACTTCAAAGCAAGGTCACCAAACCATGGCTGGCTTCAGTTCTCTACTTGTAAGAAGTTTTTTTTCCACCAAGAGATTTAACAGTTTCATGCAATCTCACTATCCTGCTGGAAAAGAGGGCCTCTCCACGCATCAGTCCTCCTCTTTATCCCTGTATTTTCATGTGTCAATAACTTACAGCACTGTCTTTTCCCCAGACTTCAGCAAATTTTTGGACATTAACCCACAAGCCATTTGAGGCACAAAAGCATCCCTATCTGCACATTTTCTGTGCTGTCCATATAAATTGCTAATACACAGTCCTGTAGATCTCAGGTGATGAGAGAAACAAAGGGCTAACAAAGCCAAACACTTCCAGTTGAGGATGCCCTGGCCCAAGTAGTGGAAGCTAAAGAACATGACAGAAGAGAAGAGCTCTCAAAGGTTTCAATCTGTTTATCCTGATTGTCAGAGGACACACCAGTTCAGGGGCTCCACCTTCCTTTTCAAGAAAGAACAGAGCAATTAGCTTTCCAAAGAGCTGCTTGTGTTAGAATCAAAAAGAAAAAAAGGAAGCCTTATTGGCTGTATGTGTAAGATACAGAGATAAAGGCACTCACCAAAGATTTAACTGATACCATGCCCTCCAGCAAGCTCCCTTGCCATTGCACAACAGGTTCATCAACAAGAGAAGGCTAACAGGGCCCTTGCACTAGTCAAGTCTTCCCCTACATTTCCTGCTTCTAGTAAACCCAAGAGAGCCACAATTTTCTGCTACAGGATTTTCAAAAGACCACAGCAGTCACATACTCACAGACCGTGCAAACACAAGAGCAAGACTAGTGACAGTGATTCCCCCCACCATCAGCTGAATGCAACCCAGATGGAGAGGGAATTTCCACACTGATGACAAACTGTCCATCAGATGGACCAGGTGGCAGCACTTGGAAGAGGAGGGAATAGCCTGGTAGACAGAGAATGACATTCAAAAAGTCATCCTCTGAACTATATAGAAGCAGTACAATTGGAGTATAGAAGTCTTGGAAGAACCAAAGGGTCACAAAACACTAGCAGGTTTTTTGCAAGGAAGAGCTCTCTGACAAGCTCATCCAAGATGAAAAGGCCTGGCTACAGCAAGCCAGCTCATTTTGGAGAGTATTTTTTAATTTTTAAAAGTTTGCATTTTTATCTAAATTCTTTTTCAAAATTGGGAAGGCAACGCCAAGATTCCTAGATAAAGACTGAAGAAATTCTCACCAATGTGTGGAGGAAGACTAAACTAAGATACACATCCATCCCTTGGGTGTATCCAATGGAAAATATCTCCAAGCTCTGCAGGATCTCCAAGAAGCATCTCGAAACCTGCAACTACAGGCATGGCAAGCTGCTTTGTCAGGAGTCTGTTAGGCTGTCTGCTTCATATTGGTGATTGTGTTTGGAGAAGACTAATCCTTAATGACCAAAGACAGGCTCTGGCAGGCAGCAGGGTAAAGGCTTAACAAGCCTGTAAGCATGCACATGAGCAGCAGTAATAGGAAATCACTCACTTGTGGCAAATCTATCATTCTGAATACATATTGAAGGATAAGAAGTATTACTTCCCTGCTGATGAAGCCCATCAAGGACAGATCAGGCTGGGTATTTCTTGTTATAAATTCAATTCAACTGAGCTAGAGTTAAGACAGAAGACCAAGTATGTGCAATTACATGCATGACTCTGGGGTACCTTAATTTCTGTTGCTTTCAAGAAAATCGAATGAGCCTCCATGCGTTCTCTCCCAGGCTTACTCTGTGGATACTTACATTGCTACTGCAGGAAAGGAAGTACTGTTGTGACTCCAACTCTTATTGTGCAAAAGACTTTCTCCTACATCAAAGGAAATAAATTTCATGCTTTAGCCTTATTCATGGGATGAAGCAAATGTACAGTGAAAACCACACAAAGGAATCCTTTTCTTTCTGGAAGCCTGCATAATCAAAGCAGTTCACCCTTATCATGCAGTCCTCCATCTATATCACACAGATAACCTGCAGAGCAAGTCTGGCTATTTGCTTTCCTTCACACAGAGGCATGTTTGTGAGTGAAAATTGGAGCAGGATTAAGGGGGAACTTCAGTCCAAATGGGAATACGTGCCAAAAACCCCACCTTCCTTGAAAATATCGAAAAGGGAGGAGGAAGTGATAGACAGAAGCAATGGTGTCTGCAAGACACAAGAAAAGGCTTTTCCTACTTTTTGCATAGGAAGCCCACATTACATTTCCCTTGCCTCAGGAACCTTTACAAGCACCAAGCCCAATGGAAGGCTGAAGTTTTTCGCACAAGTCCTGTCTCTAACTTTATTGTAGAGAGAGGCAACAGACCAGCATGTACATTTCTGCAATGATGAGTATCTTCCTGAAGAGAAGGCAAAGGTAAAAAGTTCTCTGCCCTTTGGGCATGTAAAGTTACCCTGTGTTAACCTCTAGGAAACACAGCTTCAGGCTTGTAGGTGCTTCCCTGAAAAAGTGTTGAACACGCTCCAAAGGCATCCACCCCTCCCTGAGGACCTACAATATCAACATCTAAAAACTGCACAGTGCCACTGTCTTCTATTGCACAAGTAGGCATGACCTTGGCACAGCCCAACACACATCCTACCATGAGACATGACAGATATTCGATTACCATGTTCAGGAAGGCAAACACTGGCACCCCAGGGGGGCTTTGGAAGCAGAGAGAAAGTGTTATTGTCATCATCCTAACTTTCTGTATTTGAAAGGTGCTCAGGAAGAGATACAGCACTGGAGGCATGACTGTATTCATCCTTGGGCCAGAGATCAAGTGACCATTTCCATTTCTTAGGTGCCAGAGGAACAAAACTTCCTTAGTTCTCCCTTTTAAATGTTGTTATTCAAAAGGAGCTTTCCCAGTCAGACCTTGAGAAAAAGCCATCTGAAAACTAAGAAAGTATCTTTTAACCTTTTTTTTTTTTAAAGTTCAGGAGTTAACTCCGAATTTTGGGATTCTGTCAGAAACTCATATTCTGATTCTCTGTGTTTAAAATTGTTTGGGTTCCCCCCCCCCCCAAAAAAAAAATCTACTAAGTACCTAAGAAAGAGGAGTAAGAATTCAGAATGACTACATGAACTGCATCTGGCACCAAAGCTGGATTTTTACAGCATTTACTTTGCAACATTTACAATAATTAATTGCTCACTTGAGTGTTTACAGAAGCTCCTTACATGTCATTGTAGGCAAACCACAAATTCACATTTATACAACACCAGAGTGGTTGGTAAATGCCTTTCACAGGTCATGCAATGAATTCCATTCCTTCTTAGGTATGTTTAAGAGCTTTAAAGTATGTTGGATATTTTCCTTCTGTGCTTGGTTAAACTGTGAATTTTTACTAACTTCAGTCCTGATTTGTAAACTAAGGCATTCCTGATTGCTAATTACTTCAGAGAATTCCTCCTAAACTGAGACTCTTAGCACAAATTAGTGCTGTTGCTAGAAAGTCATGGCATTCAGCTCTCCCTTTTTAGTTATCTCTACCTTTCTGGGGGCAGGGGGTCAGGTGGGCTATAGGTCCTTGAACCAGTTTGTGTGTGCCTTGTTACTTTTAGAAGATTTAGGCTCAGGCTGCTGCCACAGAAAATGGCCCTGGATTGCCCACTTTGGTACCCAGCTGTGCTTTCTGGCCCATGCCTTTCCTTGCAGCCCCTGGGCAGGAGGTGCATGGCACTGGGGAACTGACATGGCCAAATCCTTTTCAGTTCAGTGCAGCTTCTGTACTGGACCACGGGGCGGTTGCAGGGACTGCTACTATTTTGCACCTATTGTCACTTGTCTTGAAGTTAGTTATCTGCACTGACATCCATGCTTAATTTTACTTCTCCCCTCATAAGGGCTGACCCACTTCTGTTAGCTCTAGAACATTTAAATGAAAGACACTCTATTCCTATTTGTTACTGCTCCAAATACTCACCTACACAGTACTAAAAATCAAAACCACAAAACATAATTTAAAATATGTATTACAAATACATAAATAATCACCTTCTCATTATGGGCTTTGGAAGTGTGTAATTGTTTCAAACTGCAAACATCCCCACTGAACATTTTTTGAGAACACAGCTTTCATTGAAACTTCACCTGAGTTTCAACCATAAAAATATGACAAACTGTGTTAGCTCAATCCTACCTTACATCAGCTGAGGTTAATCCTCCACTCAGCTCCCTGCTGTGTGAAACTCGAGAGCGTGCAAGGGTGTGCTTCAGAACTGCCCCTCAAAAGCCCTCCTGACTGAACAAACACACTGGCAGCAGTTGTTGCATGAAAGTATGCAGCCACACACATACCAGTGCTGGTCTTCTCTGAACATTTATTCAGAGAGACAGGTCTCACTTCATTCTTTTCCCCTCGTGTTTCATTAGATCAGCTAGAGATTTTGTTTTAGGCTGGCTGCAAATTCTGTTTTGCCCAGATACATCTCTGGACACTCCCTATTCCACTTCAGTTATACAAACACCCAGCCCCTCTGGAGTAACCACAATAAAAAACTATTTCCTGTCCCTCCAACCTGTTAAGATATTTTTAGTTGAAACTGAATGCACATACCTGTGGCAGGTGAGGCACCAGTGAGAATGTGGGTGTGGTGAGACCTTTGCTTTTCTAATGCCAAATGCTTCTACAGCTTGTCATTCCAAATCAAGGGAGGTGGCCAGCTGTCTAGTCACTCCTCTCAAGGAGCAGCTCTATTTTTCTCCACCAATATCCTCACTACTGCAAAAGAGGGATAATCTTTGACTCCATCAAAGGACAAAACATCCCCTCGGCTGTTGCAGGCTTCCACACAGGAGGGACACAGAGATGCTACAGACTCCAACAACCTATTGAAGCAAGCCTCACTACTTCTGAAAGGAATGACTCTGCCCTACCTCCTCCAGCAGTCAAAGTGCCCTTCACATCACTTTACAAGATTGGTTCAGGACTGATTCTGCACCTCATCCATTACACAGCTGGGAATAACACTGCAGAGGTTTTCCAGGGATCCAGGACCCTCAGAGAAATTTAAGCTTCCTTTGCTGATACTGGAACCAACCCAATCTTGCCTGCAAAGAATAAGAAATTTTGTTCAAGCACACAGCAGGACAGTTGGGAGTGTTCCTTTGCTCCATGGGGAACAAGCATTTGCCTCTCCACCCATATTATCACTCATTTTGTTCTCTCTCTGGTGCATTCTAGGGCTGTTTCCTCTTACCTTGTGGTTTGCTAGCAAAGGGCCTCGTAGAATGAACGTGCTCTCATTTATGGGCTTTCACTCTTGCCCCTCTGTGTTAGGACCCAGAGAAGATAAACACTTTCTGCTTTACACAAGTGCTCTTAGCAGTGAACATACCCAAGATTTGTACACTTACCATCTGCCACTGACTCAAGACCATTTTACAGCTATCAGACTTGAAGATATTTTGGAGATTTAATTAAACTGCTACAACATAAATAAGGAGTGAGAACACTGGCACTTCTTTTGCTCCAAAGAGCAGCTCAGTTCCTCATGAAAAAACAGACCTAGGTTTTCTGGCATTTCCTTGCAAAATGTGCTGCCTCTAACAAAAGTGTAAAAGCATTCTGACTAGCATACATGCTGATACTAGATTTATGCTGACAGTGTGAAATAACCATTGTGCTCATCTTGACTACTGCAATAGTTTCTCTTTTCCATTTAGATCTCAAAAGGACTATTTTGAACATTGCTTTTCCTGTAGCACAAAATCCAGTTTATGAATGGATCTACTGGGCATTAAATTTTCATGTTCTCAGTAAATTTACATATGCAGAAGCTTCTCACTCTTCTCTGCCTACCACCAGGAACATCCTGTGTGAAAATTTTTATTGTCAATGAGTATCAGCAGTAACCTTCTGGTTTTATATGAAGTAAATTTATCTCATTCTTGCAAAAGTCTACTTATCCGGCATGGAACTCTGCCTAAGAGTAACAAAGTTCCCTGCCTAGGGAAACAAAGAGCTTTCCAGGATACCTGTTTTTCTGCACCTCCCAGCTTGTCAGCTGCTTTCCCACGTAAATAGCCCCCTCTTGTGTTCACTTGTAACTACTACGAGAATCGGCCACAAAAACCCCACCCAAAACCCAGACTTATCCTTGATGGTGTCAATCATCAACAGATATTGGATCGAATTCCAAGCAGTGAATAGTTTCATCCTGCTGAAACTCGTTCTCTCTGTGTTGGACCACTCTTCAGCTGACAAATCTAAGGTATTGATATCACATCTGAAATGCTAGGATTGCTAGAAAACCTTCTGGCAGAGCTGATACACAAAGTGAACAGAACAGATCAGTAACAAGATAAAGAAAACCAGGTAGCTTTAAAATTAAGTAAAATATATTTTGAGTTCTCAATGTAACACATCCCTTCACCAAGGCAAGGGCACTATAGCTGTGCTGTGAAAACTCAGTCACTTCTTTTTAATTTTTCCTCTCGTTCTTCTGACAGATCTGACTCCAGATGCGCTCAGTGAGATTTGATAGTGGGACAGGCTGCAGCAGAGCAAAAGCTGCACTCACACTGCACTTTGTAGTGAACGAGCAGGTCCAGACCACAGCTGCTTGCAGGTCCAGAGGTGATGGTCTCTGATGGTGTGTCCCTGAAAGGAAAACTGGTACCATGGTACCAACATGGGCCAAGCTCAGTCTGTAGCTGGTGAAGAAGAAAAGTAGGTTTTTTCTTCAGGGACTGCCAAATTTCATATGTAGTTCTGAAAAAAAATCCACTGGAGGTGGCTTGGTAGACTGTTTTTGATAGCTCAGATAGCCATAAAGAGAAAAATAAAAAAAGTCTGTTCAAATACCAAACTAGAAGGCTTTCCTTTTCTTCTTTTTCCCTCCTTCCACCTTATTCCTGACACCAATAGCCTCTTCTGTGTCATCATCATCATTCCGAGATCGCTTCTTCTCTCCCTGCTCCCGCAGCTCCTGCAAAGCAATCAACAGATTGACCCAGAGTCCTGGCACCTGAAGAAAATCAGACTACAACAGCGAGGACATGGTCAAACAAGCCAGCACCCACCATTCGAGCAAACCTCTGGGCCTCAGCCACACGCTCTGTCAGCATCATAACTTCCTCCTCTTGCATGGGGAATGCTGGCAGCTTCTTGCCAATCAGGTGTTCAATGCGCTGGAACAGCTCTACATCATACCTGAGGAAAGACAAGACACCAGCTTGAATCAGCCCTCCTGAGAGGGCCTCAGCTGTCAAAACTCAGACTTCACCCCTTATCTCCAGCCCACAGATACTGTTAGTTTGTGCTGATGGTCTCACAAGCAGCTCAGCTGCATCCAAATGATGCTGTTTGGCATGGCTTCTCTGATTTATTCAGCTCATCTGTTCAGAAGTATTTGGCAAAGATTTTCTTTTTAGACAGACACTTCAGTGTTTATGAAACACCCCCACAGTTACTGAACTTGCATTATATATTTTAAAAATATATAACTATATTGTATAGTCCAGTTAAAACAGTTCTGCTCAATGAATGCCTGCTTCTAGAACTTATCTATCTCCTCCCTCCCCACCCTGGGCTTTGAATTCTCTCCCCTTTAACTAAATAAAACCAACTGGCACTTCAGAATGAAAAGCAGTATTTTAGTCTCAGCCAGGATAAGGTCAGATATTTTCTGCTGTGAAACACAGCTGGAAAGAGTAAGTCTGTTAAATATTATCACTTACTGTGTGACAAAGGTGATAGATTTGCCAGATCTCCCAGCTCGAGCTGTTCTCCCAACTCGATGAATGTAATCCTGGAAAGAATTTTCTTGATAAGCAACAATTAATTTATGTTCACCAAACACAGAACAGATCTTAGGGCAGATCAGCTTATATATTTTCTCTTTAGCAAAGAACAAGAGAATGTCAAGAACTGCCAGGATTAAATGCTCAGGAGGGTGTGCAGCATCAGATTTTGAGAAGAGGTGTAAGTGGAGGCCTAACTTTGGTTTTAACAATTGAATTCTTCTCTTTCTAAACAAGATGACCAACTCAAATTATTCCAGACTGCAGAACAAAAGTTGCAATACATGACCTTTGCCAAGACTTCACTCTCACTTTCTTGGAAAGCTAATACTCACTTTCACTTCATTGGAAAGCTAGTATTCACAGTGACCCCATGACTACATTTTCAGTCTTGGGATCTAGTGCTCTGCATAGTGCATCTTCCAGAGAAACTCTGACAAGTAGAATTAAACTTGGTAAGCATGGTGAAAGAGAAGGTGACTGAGAATTATTCAGAAGAGTCTGATCTATCAAGCATCTTTGGTCAGTATGGTTCTAGGCTGTTTTCCAGGTTTTATACTACATTGTGGAAATTAAAATAGTCCCTTCTCCATACAGGATTTGCAGAGCAAGGATTCTAAGGATCTGTTCTATGGGTGAGATGAGAGAGAAAAGCACAAAGACCATAATAACACCATTCAAACTGCTGCCTCAACCTTTTTTTTTTTATTTTTTCTTACTTTTGTGATTTTACAAAATGAGTGTCATCAAAAGACCTACTACACTTTCTTCTGTTTGCAAGAAGTATCTTTAATCACTGTAAGCAGCAATAGCAATTCCTGAAGTTCACATTAATGGTATCCTTTCTGTAACTAAGCTAAGAAACAGCCACATCCCTGAGATCATACCATACTTTCTGTAAAACAGAGTTGGTAACTTACTTTCTTTTCCTTTTGCTGTACTTTTGTGATATGAAGGTGAAACATATTAAGGACACCTTATTTAACCAAATGTTTGTTGAATGTCATACTGAGAGAATTTTTTTTTCTTTTTTTTTAAACACAGTTTAAAATATGAAGGCAGACCTGGATCACAGGCAGAGATGATTACGTTAAACTAGTAATATGTTAAAACTGTTTTCAGAGCCCTTTAATGTGATAAGGCAAAACATACAGTTTGAGCAGAAATGCAAAGACACAGAGCATTCCTCACTTCCCCTCTTCACTTACAGGATCACTTCTACAACCCAGGCCATGAAACCATACAAACAGAGGTACCAACTGAATAAAGGAGGCTGAACTACACCTTTCAATGGACAGAACCATGAATTTGGCTTCAGTCAGCAGAACAGAGAAAAGATGTCTCTGTTCCTCTGTCTACCTTCTTTGTCTATCTGTGCTCTCAGTGGTATTCAGACAGGCTTACCTTAGAGTGTGTAGGAATATCAAAGTTTATCACCACATCCACATGTGGGATGTCCAGACCTCTGCTTGCAACATCAGTGGCCAGCAGAATAGAACGTGCCTTTGCCTTAAACTTGTTTAGAGAGCCCAAACGTTTATTCTGGAAACAGGACAAAAAGGGAATGAGAGAAAAACATTAATTCTAGTTTCTAGTTAAAATGCTCTTGTTAAAATACCATCACAAAAGAACTGGGGGACAAACTACTCAAAAAATTAACTTCTCTAATTTCTTTTTTAAATATTACAGGATGAGGGGCAGCATTCACATTAGTTAAATTTATATGGATCAGTCCAGTCCACTAGTTGTGAAATACTCCTCCTGCAAGGCAGGTGTGACTCAGTATGGTGCAGCCCATTTCCCAAGCCCCAGGCCCCCTGCCTGCTCTATTCTGTGGGGTCATGCCCATACCTGACTCATCTGCCCATGGAGGGGAATGGCAGTGAAGCCCAGGTTGCGGAGCAGTAGAGCAGTCCTCTGAGTATTGTTACATGTACTACAGAATATCATGAAAGAGTTACCAGCCAGTTCATTCAAGATATAAACCAGGTAGCTGTCCTGTAAAGAAACAGAGAGAGAATTCAAAAAAACCCAGAGATAATCACATGTACAACATTAAATCTAGGACTCAGAAAACGATAAGATATTGGTCACGTGTGGGAACAAGAAAAGGCAATAAGAGTGAAGAAACAGAAGTGCCATTACCTTGAATTTGGAGGGGATGAAAATGTAGTACTGTTGCAGTTTTTCAACTGTCTGATACTTGGAAGTTAGTCTGCTCCCACCTTCTTGGTCATGGTGGCAGAAAACAAGAATGTCTTCCTGTCTCGAGGAATCACTTTTAATATCTTATCCACCTGTGAAAAAATCAGGATATGGAAATACTAAATACTACAAGCAAGCAAGACACAAGCCTTCCACAAATACAAAGATCATCCACATGAAAAGTAAGGCATGTGTAAACATATAGTAGGAACAATTTTTTTCTCTTCTAAAGGGAAGGTGTAGGCTGATATCTTGTTGACAATTAGGAAGTGTGAACTCCAAAAGTCCAGCAGAGCAAATATCAGGCAACGTTTCTGCAGGAATGTGTGTGTGATTGTTTTCTACTCTACCTACATTCTACATCAGGCTCTCCAGAGACAAAGTGTCTCCTACTGTCTTGGCAGTGCTCTGCAGAACTCTGCTCCATTCTAATCCCACCAGCAGACTTTTGTGTAATTATTAGATCTTAGTTACAATTTACTATTAATTTCTACAGAGCAGCTCAGTATTTACCATGTGACTGTATAAAGTGATTTTAAAGGGACTCATCTGGTGTTCCAAACTTGTCTTTTAGCAGTTTCCTACCTCTGTCTCGAAATCCATGTTAAGAATCCGGTCAGCCTCATCCATCACTAGGAACTTCAGAGCTCGTAAGTTGAAGCCCTTTGTGTTCTCCAGATGATCAACTAGACGGCCAGGGGTTGCTAGCAACAGCATCACGAGAGCAAATTCAGAATGAAAGCAGAGGAAAAGATCCAAACAGGTAAGAGAGCTGTCCATCCCAGAAATGGGATTCTTTGCCCAAGAAAAGTAAAGATTGCTTTGTGGGAATAACTCTTTCATAGGGTATCTTCAGAGAGTGTTTTGAAATAAGACTAATGGAGTAAGACTCTTTGAAGAATGTCCTAAAAAGAAGACTGTAGACAAGTTGTACTGTGAAGGATGAGACCAGCATTTTAAATACTCGAGGAAAATGAAAAAACAAGCCCAAAGCACTCTAGGTCTAGCAGGAAGTCTTTAGAATGAGCTTGTAGTAACAAAGTTACTGGCAGATACCTTAGAAACATTAACAAGCCAGTACTCAGAGCTTGGGATAAAAAACAAATGAAGAATGTACTCTCTTTTCTTTGGTTAACTGCAGTTTGGTAACACTCATACTCCCCATCCCCAGAGCATCAACTTACCAATGATAACATGTGGTTTCTTGGCTAAGGCCAGAGATTGCGACATCGCATCAATTCCACCCACAATAACCGCTGCAGGACAAACAGAGTGTAGTGAATCCCTCAGTGCAGCACCAGCACTGGCACTGTAGTGTTCACTCCTACTGCCCACCACCCACAGCGATTCTGTACAAATGAAAAGCTACTTATTTTTATGAGAATTTACTTTACTTTAGCATATCTGACCTTCCTAGGCTTCTTAAGCCGTTCAATTAATTCCTTACTGGCCACAAGTATTTTATTTTCACAGCTCAAGGGCTACAAGCAGAGTCTATTCCTTGCAGTTTGACTCAGCTGCAAAAATCTAGGAATTCTAAAAATACCCACAAAGCTTTTTTTAAGAGATTATCTAAAGAATCAATACAGACAGTCTGAAAGGAAGATTAAACTACACACCATAGCAGGGAGCTAGCTCTAAGCAATTTCACTGGATGCAAGCCCACTGTTGAGAACATTCTCTTCTACTTCCACCTTTAACTATTTAGACACAGAATGCAGAAGAGCTGTAGACCACTCCAAGAGGAAACACCATACAGTCTTTTTTTCTCAAACCTTATACCAGATCTCTGTCTTCCAGAAGCATAAGCTTTCCTCACGTTTTCTTCAACCCCTCATACAAATCCTCTATTTTTATCTTTGCAATCTCCAGCTGACAAATGCTTTCAGAAAAAACCAGTCCAATACCACAAAAGCTACTTACTACTTTGAACACCGATGGAAGATCCAAGAGCTTCAAACTGCTCTGAGATTTGAAAGGCCAGCTCCCTGGTTGGTGTGAGGACAAGAGCAAATAATCGCTGAGGTGTTTCCAGCAGTGCTTGAAGAATTGGCAAAGCAAAGGCTCCTGTTTTTCCAGAGCCAGTTTCTGCCAGTCCAATGACGTCTCTGCCTGCGAGAAGGAGCAAGGGGGCAAAAAACTGTTACACATCCAGAACAGGGAAAGAAGACTTTAAAGCACCGTGCAACAAAACACAAGAATTCCCTAAGGACAGAAAAAAAGGCAGACACACAGAAGGAAAAAAAAAAACAAACAACAAAACAAAGGGCCAAACCAAAGAATTTCAAAATCTCTCTGAAGCATTTTTAGACTGTGGTTTGATTTGTACAATGATTACAGTCTCAGTAGTCAATTTTCTAGTTACATTTCTGATATTGTACAGGGTTTCATACAAACCTTAGGTTCAAAATAAATTTTACTTTATTATGTCTCAAATCTGACATCAGTTTACAGCTTAATAACTCCATTTCACTATTCTAATTCAAATGTTGTCTGTTTTCTGGCTTAGGAGGAAAGAAACTGCAGTGTTTGAGACTTCCGTCATACAAATACAGGACAACAGCACTATCAAACTCACATTTCACAAGCCAGAATTGTCCCACTGATTAAGAGAGTAATCTAAACCAGTTTGCAGTAGGAAGGGTAGGACAGAAAGTCTTTTGCCCCAAAACACTGCAGACAACCAGGTGGAAGAACAGATGATTCTATTCATCAATAGAATCCATTACGACCTCCTAAACTCATACAATCAAGAAGATGCTATCAACAGACTTTACACTGGAATCAGTTTCTCAGGAATGCAGTCTTTGTGCTTGTTTTTTCACTCCTCCAAGAAAATCTTATATGTGTAGTAAAAGAGTCTGACAAAAGTTAAATGCTAGGACAGAGCAGATACTGAAGTTTGTTCTCATTCTGTCACTATGTCGCTCCTTTCCTCCCTGAGAGTGTTTTGGGGTTTTTTTCTTTTTAAAAATAAATTTCTCTAGGCAGAAATGTCTGCTGAATTCAGTCATTTATTTTTTGCAATTCCAGAATGCTTATAGAAAGTCACTGTGGTTTGGTTATTACTCTCTTCAGAAATCTAATTTCAAAGAGTTGCCTGCTCACAGCAAAGCAAGTTATACACACTACAGAATCAGTCAAGGCATCTTCACTTTCAGTCTCACATACACACACACACACACTATGTCTCTACCAGAAGCAGCACAGTCTAAAACCTATTGGAATCTTCCTGTGTATCCCTGAGTATTTCAGAAACAAAATTATCAATGTGGACTAGCAATTCAAATTATTAATAATAATTCTATTTAACACAAAGTATCAGAACTACACAACGGAAGAGAACACTACAGGAACAATGTACCCATTTGAAAGTTTGTGACTGCAGGCATTGTTATAGGATGAACTAGTATTCTAAGCTCCACCTGGGAAGGAAACAGAATGAATATGAAAACTACTTCTAGACAGAGATCCTCAACAATGAAGAAGTTGGGACACACTGATCCTTCTCACTCGGCAAAATTCATTCACATAGAGCTCCTGGAGCAGTCCCCAGTTCAGGATCAAAGAATTACACTGCTCACCCTGGAGAGCCACTGGAATAGCCTCAATCTGGATCTTTGTTGGCACCTTCCATCCCAACTGGTCACAAGCTTCACACAGGACATCTGTCACTCCCTGGACATTAGTGACAAGAAAAAAGGGAAACAGTCATCACCAAAAAGACCGAAATTAAATCACAGAGTTAAATTAAATGCATGCTGAAACAGAGCCAACTTGTCTCTAGCAGAGACAAACCCCAGCAGGCCCCCAGTGCAACTCTCCGAAAGGACAGGCTGCTCAGAGTGATCCCCAGTTCCATCAGTATCCTCACACGATTTGTTCAAAGTCTGTAAGAGATGACTATGACAGGAAGAATATGGTCGGTTTTACGCTAGTTTACACAAAGAACTTTCCTCTTCACACACAGCTATCTCTTCACCTCAGGGGCGACCCATGACCATAGAAAACCAAAAACAACATGTCAGGTTAAGACAACCTGAAGATAGCGGCGATGGGAGCAGCAAAGCCGAACCCAAGGGGACAGCGGCCGAGCGCCCGCAGCTCCTGCCCGGGCCCGGCAGCGCTGCCCGCCCAGCGCCACACGTGTCTGCCCCGCAGGGACACGGGGCCGACCGGGAGCTCCCCCGGCCTCATCTTCACGCTCCTCGTGAGGACAGGGACAGGGCAGACAGCACCGGGAACAGAAGCGGCTTCGGCCCAGCCTCACCAAATCCTTGAAGCTCCGCGACTCCTCCGCCGCCGGCTCCTGCTCCGGCTCCGCCGCCGCCGACCCTTCCTCCTCTCCTGCCGCCATCTTGGCCCGTCTCCTGCCGGTGCAGCGCAGAGCACTCTGGGAGCTGTAGTCCTCCTCGGGGCGCGACGGGATTTGTAGTTCCGGGGAGCGAGCCGAGCGGAGCGGGTGGGATTTCCCTCGAGTGCGAGAGGTGGCCAGGGCAGGGAAATACAAAATAAACGGAACTGTGGCAACTCATATCATTAAATGAGAGAGTACAGGATGAGAATAAACGCAAACACTCTCCCAGTTCGCTTGATTGCTGCTGTTGTGACTCAGACCTGCAAGTGCTTGATGAGAGGTGAAAATGGATGTGCATTTAATGACCATCCAGGGAGTGCAGCATCAAAATATCACCACGATGGAAGTTTCTGTGTCATTGGTTTCCATCTGGTCCGGGAGTAACATCTCTGATCTCTAGTCGTGGTGCTGGTTGCAGAAGGGCAACCCTGCAGTTAGGTGAGGTTCCTTTGTTTTAGGCAAAAGAAGGCTAACATACGAAATGTTAGGGTTAGATGTTCAGGCTTCAAAAGGACGGCAGAGTTGGCTCCAAAATGAAACTCATGGCTGTATTTCTGAGCAGACTTTGCTTTCTCTGGGAAAGCTGCCTGGGCGTGCTCTCAGTGGAAATGCTGATATACTTCAGCATCTGTCCCTGGATTCCAAGCGTGGCATTTCCTCTGCTGCCAGAACAATGAAGAAAGTGAGAGGAAATACAAAGGAACTCTCTGCGTGACAAAAAGAAGAGGAAACCTGAAACAATTCATGGGCAGGAGTGAAATGAATGAAAAAATGAAACTGCAGCATCCCACTGTGCTTAGGAGCAATGATAAATTAAAAAAAAAAAACAAACGCCCAAAACCCCCTGTGTAGATGCTCATTGTTACCTTATGTATCAAAAATTACAGAGGTCTGTGCCATCAGCTTGCTGTATATCATTAGTGCTAAAGGTTAAGCCTGGCCAGCACATAGACACGAACCCCTGTAAGGGTCACTGGGATGCCTCAGGAAATGGAGTCAGGGATGTGGCAGGAAGTCACTGCTTGTGGTTCTTTATTGAACTCCTTGCCCATATAATATGGTGCAGTTTCAGTGGGGAGCAGGGTGGAGCAATTCTATTCTGGTGAAATTCCAGTTTGTGTAATTCCCTATTGTCAATCGATGTATTTAAATTAAAGTTTTCTGCTGTCCTAAACTGCCATTGGCAGCATTCATGCACAATAAAATAAATATACAGCTTCTAAGTAGTAATTCCTTTTTTGTGCTTTTCAGTACAGGATACTGAAGATTATACTGGATTTAGAAATTGTCACTCCACGGCTTTTAAACTTGGCTTTTAAACAAATACGCTCCTAGCTCTGCTGCATGTTACAGCTCAGTCTTCCTTGGCAGAGGCAGGGTGAGAGCATCCCAAGCATATGAATTTTAGTGCAGATATAATGTCAGCTATTTCATAAAGGGTGCATAATGTGACAGGATGGACAATATGTACAGCACGTCACCTCCAGGTGTGCAGAGAGACACTGACACAAAAGTGCTTCATATTCATTTATTCGAATCAGCAGTGTACTTGTTCATTTCTGTCAAACAGGCAGGGATATCAAAAGCATTTGAGTCCCACTCTGGGGAACCAGAGCTTTTATTCTTCCTACAACATATTAACACAAATGTTGATATCATGGAAAGACAAAAAGGACAAGGGTTCAAGCTTTATGAAATGGAGTGTTGCCCTCCTTAAGAGTTTGGTCAGTGTTACAGAATTTCAGAGTAGATTTCCCCAATCATTTGGATTTGTGCCTGCACAGGGAAGTTTCCCTTATCCACTGGGGCATGCTTGTGGAGGGAGTTACCTCTGTGTTAATTCTTCTAGTCGCCTCAAGCTAGTTTCAGGGTCTCTTCCTTGTACCTCTTTCAGGTACTGACATGATCCCCATCATCACCATGCTTGGGCATTTCTCCGTGAGATGATCCCAGAAACATCCTTGTGAGGTAGGGAAGTGCTGCTATCCCCGTTTTTAGACAGGAAACTGAGGTACTGATGGCTCAAAACCACAGAGGGCATATTTAGCAGAACAGTCACTTGAAACAGGGTCCCAGTCCTTGCTCCTGCTTGGTAGGGGCTCTGCCACTGAATCATCCTACTCCTCTCTACCCCTCCTGAGTATTAGTACTCGCATATATTTCACTAATATGAAGCCTTCCCTGGGAAGCATTGTTAGGAGTATGTGTAGCTTTCCAGGAGTGCTGCCTCCCTCCTCACAGATGATGCACTGTGGGTCTCACAGGCTGCTTGACTATATGGAGAGTGGCACCTCCGCCTCCCAGGTGTGCTCCCATCACAGTGGGGCTCCGGCTGGGACCAGTAACACCAACCTATGCTTCCCTTCCTGCTGCAGGAGATACAACTGCTTCCTTCTACCAGTGCCCTGAGGCAGACTGATCCCAGGGTCACTCTTCTTCTCTCTAGGTAACTTGCTCTCACGTGCTTCAGACTTGCTTTTACTCTAAAAAACAACAGCTTTCCTTTTTATATATGTATGTATATATATACACTCTTAAATACAGTATCATAACCTTAAAATCATTCTATGTAAATAAATAGAATACAAACATCACAGTTCTCAGTCTGGAGAAGTTTCTTCATAAGGGATAAATTCTGGCCCTGCTCTTTCACCCTGCGATGGTGAACTATCCATACAGTCTGTCATATCTGGAGCTGCTTCTTTCTACAGCCTTTCCAGATGTACCTTGGTAATGGGATTCTCTACTGGAAATCTGCTGCTGGCAGCTGCTGGCTTTTTTAGGGTACTCCAGCCTCTGTACCTTACACAGATTCATAAGCTGTTTACAAACCAAGTTCAGTCAGCATCAAGAATTTAATCAGCCTCCTGACCTACTTCTTTTTGCTGCCTTGGGGAAGCAGAGCAATGGAGATGGCTGGGGAAACAGGGGGTGCAGAACGTCTGCCTCATGGCATCAGCACCGTGAACTGTAATACACAGGTAGCGGTGCTAATGGTTACAGTTAATAATGTAATGTCTCCAAACCCAGTTTTAATAAGGGCCAAACACTGTTTCAGGATGGTCTCAGAATTTCGGCAGTGGTTTTAGCACCCAGGCTGAGTCTCCTTGTACAGGGAGAAATCTCTGTTCTGGACTCAAGAAGATCACAGACTTCATCCATTGCCCTGGTGCAGGTCTCGAGGTTGTCAGCCAGCTTCTGGATTTTGGCCTTCAGCACAGCCTGGCTTACTTTGGTGACCTCCTTTGTGTATTCTGGCACGAGGAAGCTGTGGGAGCCGCAGAAGACCATGAAGCAGACGGAGTTGTAGAGCGAGATGGATGCCCTCTTCTCTGACTGGCGCAGCGTGGGGTCGCCTGGGCCCTGCCCCCGGCGAAGGAACTCCAGGCAGCCGAGTATTTCCCTCATCTGTTTCCGACAAGTCATTGCAATTTCCTGCACCTTCCTCACCTCCCGGGAATTGCAGAGCACTAAGGAGAGGTCGGAAGTGACGCTGACGGCCCCTCCAGCCGTGGCCAGGCCCAGGCCCACAGCCGACGCCAGGAGAGAGGCTCCCAGCGTTGCCGGGCTCAGGGACAGCCCCAGGATGGCCGTGACTGCTCCTGCAGCGGTCAGGGTGCTCCCGCTGACATTGGCAATCAGGGACCTCTTGCGGAGCTTGTTGAGTTTACGAGCTGCCTTGTGAAGGTGAGCGATTTGGCCACGCAGCCTCCGTCTCTGGTCCAGCAGGGCTACGTGGAAGTGGTGCGTGGGGTCTGGTGTTGGCGGAAAGGCAGCACTGTTCCTCTCCATGGCTTCTGTCCAGGAAAAGAAAAGTCTGGGTTAGGATTTATGTCAAAAACCTCCCATGAGACATGCTCATCCTGGACCACCATTTCAGGGATGGCATCCAGCCAAATTTTTGTTGCTTCACCCAGCTACAAGAAAGGTTTTCCATCTGCACACACGTGCACACTCACGTACACACACATACCCGTATGAATGTGTACATTTAATTATGTAGTCCGTTGTAACTTTCAGACAGAGAAACTTTAAGGTGTTTTCCTTTAATCCCTGCAAAGACTAAAATAACCTGAGGGCTGGGGTCAGAGGTGCTGTTACCATTATCTTTGTGAAGACACAAAACGTCTCTTCAAACCCTGGGGACTGAAATTCCCCTGAGATTAGGTGGCTCAGTGCCTAGAAGAGCAATGCTGCCAGAATTAATCTGTTGTCCCCCTGATGGGATTCAGAGGATCTGCAATATAGAGGGACATCTTTCACAAGAAAGGTCAGACTCCAGAGAGGTGAAAGCCACCATCCCAGGTTTTTGTTTAGCGGTGATTTCCTTTTAAAGGAGGAAAGAGGGAAACTGCAGAGTGGAATCTATATCTGGATTTTCCCTATAGGAGGTGAGGAGCTTAATACCTTTTAAGCTTCAGCAACTCAATGCCCTGCAGCATTTTTTTTTTTTTCCTATTGTAACCTGTTGTCAGTGTATGAGCAAAGGTGGGAGCTATTGTTCTGTGGTGCTTAGTCCAACCTGTGGTCATAAATACCCAGTTATAGTGGCAGGGAGGCCCACGAACCTTGTTTAAAAGAGTCGTGAAGACCACATCAGAAAAGCAGGCCCATTTTTAGTGTGCACTCCCTTGTGGATGGGAGAACAGGGGAAATACAGAGGCCTGTGAATAGAAAAGGCTTGGAAACTGCTGGCTGTGGAAAACCTCCCCCAGCAAGATAGCAGGAGAGCCTTCATTTCTAGAAGATGAATCTTCAGTGTTTCTGTGCTATACAATCTCTGTTTGCTGTCTCTGTTCTTTGCCACAAGGGCAGAAAAAAATGTTCCAGTAACATTTTCAGGTTTCCCTAGGGCTGCAAAATGCTTTACAAAGGAAGCCAGCAACCCTAACCCTGCTTACAGGGAACCTGAGGAAACAGAGTCAACAGGAGTGATGTAGCTGGTTGTATGGTGGAAGCTGATTGTATGTTTCTGTGCTTCACAACACTGCATTGTGCACACAGCTGTGATGCCTCTGCACCTAGCTAGGTCCAGCCATAGGGCTGAGAAGCTGTTTGGAGCCCATAATGCCCTTACAGCCAAAAGGAGTCTCTGTAGTAAAAAGACCCTGCCACTAAGCCAACTGAATAAAACTATTCATTGCTGCAGGCACCTTTTCACTTCTAAGCCTTCTGTGCTGTGGGAACTGCAGGTGCCATGAGGATTCTTGGGGCTTCATTCTGTAGAATCCTCATGTTTTAGGAGGAGAAAACTTTGTACCATAAATTGTCTTTCCATCCAGAAGTGTATTCATAAATAATTCTCACTGCAATATTTCCCCCTTCTGCTGGCTTGTCCTGATCCATCTCACACAGATCCTTTAAGAAGCTCCCCATGCCCTGCAGAAATGCCCCCAGTTTGTCTTGGTGTCATTGGATCATTTGAATCACTTGGTAAATTTTGCTTCTCTCAGTTGGAGGCTGTGTCCTATTATTTTTACACTATAATTAGAAATAAAGCTGGAAGCAAAAGGACTAACACTAATCTAAATGGATACCAGCATTGAAATGAACAATGAGCATATAATCAATAACTTAACAGATCAATGTGATGATCATTAAATGTGTCAACTCCTGAAGCCTCTTAACAATTTGTTCTGAAGATTTAGTTGCTGAGAACTGTCTCAGGTAATAACAGCGACTCTCACTGAATTATGAGAACAATCATTCAATATAGAGCATAGGCCATGTAGTGATGCAAATCTTTTGCTATTGATTAATGCCAGTACAAAGGAAAAAAAAAATCCAACCTCTGCTCTTAGAGAAAAATCTCCCCAACAATAAAGGTATACATAAGTCAAAAACTTGCAAGCATTTTCCTAATAGAGTACTCAGAGACACTCCAAAAATTACTGGTTCAAACTTACCTTCAGCTTCCAGCCACTCTCCCAGAAGACAAATTTTGATCTGTTTCTGGAGGAGACCAATATATAGCTCCTGTGGACCAATTGCTGCGATGGGAATGCTTTGCCTCATACTGGGAGTTTGCCATTTCCTGCTCTCCCTTGTGCAGGAGGATGTGACACACTGGAAAGTGACCTGTGGGACAGTGAGCACACATCAAGTTCAGGAAACGATCCCTGCGAATGAACATTGTGTGTTCGCTTTTCCTGAATTGTAGGGTGAAAAAAAAGTTTAAAAATCGCAGCCTATTCCTGGCTCTGAGGTAGTGCAGACATTCCCTGCAGGGAGCAGTTGCCTTTCCTTTCCCTGAAATAGCAACTGACTTTACTCTGTGCTGGAGCTGCCAATTGCTTGATGACTTAAGTTTCCCTCCACTACACATCTAGAGCCAGGGGAGCTATCAGCCAGCCAACTCCTCCATTCAAGGCCAGTGTACTTTTAAAATCCTAGCTCTTTGGGGAAAATCCATAAAAGGGAAGCAGCCCCACAGCAAGATCATTGCTCTGAATTCCCATCCCTTCTCCTTCCCAGTACTTCAAAACATACTGCAAAAGGAGTGATCACCCTGTGGTTTTACTCTGTTTCTTAAGTGTAGGCACCAAAATGATTGAGAAACAGCCCTCTTGTTTTCCTGAAGTGCCTGCCCAGCAATCAATAATCAGAAAGAAAGGATCATTTCCATCCCCTGTTTTGCTGCCTGCTGTTACCTGGCAGTTCTGCCATACAGATGTGGCCAGAGGGAAGAAGTGATGAAGGTGTTGGGGAGGAACAGCCTAAGTGCCACTCCTGGCACTGCCTTCCATGCTGAGCCAGGGCCAGTTTTAATCAAAGAAAGATTCTTTTGATGGGGCCAGGAAAAATAACTCTTTTGATGGCACTCAGTGGTAGTCCAAAATGACGTGTGTCTTTATTGACACAGGGCCTGTGGTCCTGGGGACATTTCTTTTGTGCTTGGAGATGGGGCATCTACTTTCTTGTTAGGTGGATTCTTACTCTTCAGGACTATTTGTTGACAGGGAAGCTCTGATTTTGCCCCTGGCTAATCTGAAAGCTATCTAGCTGTCACTGAGTGGTGAGGCTTTCCTGTTGAATTTGTGGGATGTGTAGCCACACAATTGCTGGAGCTGACCTTAAAAAGTGCCAAGACTGAGAAGCAGCAAGCAGGGAGAGGAGAAGGCTAGGGTTATTAATTTCAATGGCAACTTAGTATTCAATTATGTTAAAATAGGTGTGAAATAGTATATCAAATGCTTTTTCAGGGGTGGACCTACAGGAGATGAAACATGAATGAAAAAAATAAATAGCATGGAAGAGTTATTTCAGCCTGGAACAGACATGGAAAGATAAAACACCATTTTGAAGATGGAGTCCTGGTCTGTTACAATTTGTACATGCTGCATGTTAACAGGAAGGTGAGCTTTGACACTGAAGGAAACTGTACTTTAGCCCTTCCCTTTGTTTTAGCAAGCGTAGGCTTGAATTGGAGCCCATCTGCCTTGGCAGGGGTGTGCAGTATGAGCCTAAGATGACGACATAGTTTTGGATGCTCTCCTTCCTTTCCCAGTTCTCTTTCAGTATACTGCAAAATATTGCCAGAAACCCCTGCAATGCTCAGTCTGTGGGCAAGGACGTGATTAGGGTGCAAAAGACAATTAATTTTTCTTAGACTATTCCCTCACAGACTTTCATGCCCGCTGAAAGATCCACACTTCACTCAAGATGAGATGTTGGTCTCATCCGAGGATGGTTTCTCACAGGAATCATCCGTGGGCTCCTTCACCATTTAAAGAGAATGTTTCCCCATAATCTACCCCTGTAATAAGGTGAATATCCAGAAAGCATGGAATTCACATGAGAAAGGACAGATTTTAGAAAAGAGATGTGTATTATAAAAAGAAACATTGTTTCCTAGGGAGTGGCCCTACCACAGTGTTTTGCTATCTGTGCTTGTCCCTGCTGGTGCTCCCACAAACATCTCTCTGGTGAGAGTGATGGTCTTCTCTCCCACTGATAATCAGAAAGACTTGCTCCAGCAAAGGTGAGCAGATGGGAATGGGAGCTGGATGGGAGAAAAGTGTCTTCTCTCAGCACCTGCCAAGAACTGAAGGGCTTCTAGTGCCATTAGTGCCCTTGCCCAGGTGTAAGTATGTCTGCAGGGTCACCGAGTAGGTTCCAGGAGCCTGCTTGGAGTGAATCTTAGCTTACTGGGGCTCTCCAGGTGTGTGGGTAGATCTGACCCTCACTGGGCAGTTCTGCAAGCTGGTGGAGGCCTGACCATGCTGCCTGCTGTACACTTTCACCCAACCCCTCTGCTGCTGCTGCTGCCTCCTTGCTGATGACCTGGGGCTTGATGGTGGAAAGGGCACGGCAGGTGTTCCACAATGGCCCTGGACAAAAATGATACTGCTCCACCCTTTCCCATCTAGCCACATCCTCTTGAAATGCCTGAGGGCACTCTGTGGCAGCAGGTGACCAGAAAAGGGAAGGAAGGATGTTTTATTGCCTCAGCTCTCTTCCTTTCAGTGGATTTTGGCAGAAAGGGCTGCTCTTTATGCTCCCGGTCTCTCCAGCAGAAGGGATAAATGGCAGAAGTCTTTGATCTGAAGCTGTTTGCAGCTACTGCGATGTAACTTTTGAATGCAAATATGTGACATTTGAAGCTGGAGTTTCAAATATACACTTCCTTTATTAACATTGTGTTGATCAAAAAACTGAGAAAATTTGAGTAAATTTGCACTTTATATACTGTCTTTTAAACAGGAGATTTCTGCCATGCTTATTACTTTCAACCTTAATTACTGGACCCTGGAGCTAAAAGCTGTCTCTTTTTCTGTTATTTTCTTTTTCAACTGTAACAAAGACGAATCTTCACTTTTCACAGCAAACTATTAATTCAGAATCAGTGGAAACTAGAATTGAGCAAAACTAAAACAAAGAAAGCAAATTTGAGCCAAAGGGCTGCATCAGCTCTTAGTTACTTTACCAGTAGATCCAAATTAATTTTTTTTAAGCATTCCAGAATGCGACAAGCTGCTCTGGGCTCTGGTCACTGGTATATGTGGGACTTCAGCTGGGTTTGAAGAAAGCAGAGCAGGGTGGGTGGGGGAACAGGAAAGCCTATGGGATGAGAACACCTCTTGTTAGTTCCATTTAAGTGGAAAATTAGTCAGGCACACTGACTGTGCCTGCTTTGTGAGCCGACATCCATGTAACAAAAATACCATCCTGAGTTGCCTTGTCAAAACACTATTAGCAGCATTTGCAGAGATCAAGCATTTGTTTGGATGCAGAGAATGAATTTCTGTGATGTATTTAAACAGATCAGCTTACGCTGCCATTTTCCAGCTATAATTACATGTTTCAGTGCAGGCTGTGTGGTGTTAGACTCTGATGCACAAAGGAGCAGCTCCCCACTCAGCCCATGAGCCTCCAGGATGTGGCACAGCTGATGTAATTCAGCGCAGCCACACGCAGGTTCTGCTGAGACCAGAACTGCTGGAGGACTTTTCTCTGTTCACTATCTTAGCAGTGGCAGCAGCAGCACCACACCAGAGCAAGTCTGGCTACCCATCCCCTCCAGGACTATAGAAAACAGAGAATTGTTAACATATTTCCAGAACTGTAAAGAAACCTGTTAGATTGGTACAAATCAGAAATTAGGTAACCTGGCTTCTTTTGTCTCTTTTCCAATGGACTTGATGGCTGAGTCCACAAGGCAACATTTCTCTTGAAATAAAGGAGTATGGATTCTTCTCACCTACAAAATCTACTTATTTTTGTGAAACTTTCAAGAAGTCAGTGTCTTTGAAATCTTGACTGCCTTGTCAAATTCTGGCTGAGGTTGCCTAGGAACCTCAAAAGCGGCTGTCATTACATTGACTAACCCTCCCATCTGGCACAACAGAAACATGACAGAGACACGGAGGCCTAAAGAAGTCCAGAAAAAGTTAAAAACTATTACCTTGAACTTCAGATAGAGATGTATCTCACCTAATTTCAGCCCTCTCACACGCAGTCAGTTTATTCACACTCTGAAGCTCCCTCTAGAGCCAGGAAAAGAAAGAGACATGCCAAAAAGCTCATTCAGTCCATCTCTTCCAGGTACCTGCTCTGTAATACGTGACAAATTGTAGACAGCAATTCTTTATCCTTTTCCTGCCTCGTTCCATGGCTCGCTAGGTTGGACAGGTTTGCTAGGTTTATGTTCCAGTTTCAAATATCCTGTCCCACAGACACTGCTGTGGGCCAGAGATGGTCCCTTAAACCAGCCCTTGCTGTCCTGCAGTGTGAGCAGGAGATGCTGCATGTGGCAGCGGTGCATCCCTGCCTGTCCCCTCTGATAACAGGCCCTTCTCACACATGGATTTTTCAGGTACCTTTTGATCCTGATGACATCAGCCAGACTTGGGAACACTATAGAACACTTGCACGAGAGGGATGGATCTCACCTAGATCCAAAGAGAAATGGACATCTGGCTATGAGCATGCAGTGTGGCCTTCTGTACCTCCCAAATGTTTGTCATACAGGTACCACTGCTTGCGTCCATGCTTAACTCAGTGCTCAGCAGGAGATGTATGGCTGTTGGGATGGCCTTTATTCCATCATTAATCAACTATCTGTATTTGACAAACCTGCTTTCAAGAGTGTTTGTGAACTCTGCCTTTAAGGACAAATTGCATTCTTGGTACCAAGATCAGATTTTGACTAATATCTCTTGCAGTATCCTAGGGCTCCCCTCCAGGCTGGGTATTATTTTTTATTTGCAGCACATCAGACATCTAGTGATTGTTCAGATCAGCATTTTGCAGTGAGCTCTTATAGCTCTAGAAAAATGTTTCCACTCTTGAAGCAGCTCTGCAGACTTGGAGAACTGGAAGTGGGCAGAAAGGGTGAATGTGTTCTCTTCCTGTCAGCCCCTACTTGAATCTGGTGCAGTCAGGGAACTGTATTTGACTTCAAAAAGCAAACACATTGCTGTACTTTATGCCTCTTTACAATGATGTCTGAAAATGATCACCCTTCTTCCTTCAGCTTTAGTGCACACCAATAATTGCACCTGAAACATTTCCTTCAGTCATTCTGTGGGCAGGTCTTCCCACAGTGATGGGTCATGAGGGAGTCTAGAAAACAGTAGTCTCTTTCCCTAAAACCTGCTCCCCAGTAGGAATCTTTTCCTCCACAGCACAGTAGATTGCAAGTAGGCATTAATAATCAGGCTGCCTACTTCTTACCACCTTTTATATTTTGGGAAGCATACAGTGGCTGATGCATTTCCTGATGTATACTCAAAATTCACATCAGTTTGGATCCAGTACCTCTGAATTTCGACATGGAGCTACAGACAATTCACTTCCTTGCTGTTCTACAGCATTTTCAATGAACTTTGGAGGTTCCTGTTCTCACCTGATATGCAGGGAAACAGAGGCAGGGAGGAAGCCAATAGTTTTCTTCTCATTGTCTCTTAGGCAGAGCAAAGAGTGAACGTAAGTGGCCTTAGTTTCAGATGAGTGTTTGCTTCCTGCAGCTATCCTCTGACCTGACACAGCTTTTACAATACTGATCAGGTGATGATTTTAAATTCCCTTGTTCTGGCCCTTTTCAAGATTGGTGGTTGAGAGTTTTCCATGTTTAAGGGTATATCATACTCTATTCTTCTCTTTCTATTTCATGGAAAATAAAAGGTTTCTGTAAGCCAAAAAAATTCTTTCCCTTGTAAGGTTTCTGGAACAAGATGCTGGGGTATTTTTATATTTTTTTTGTGGATTTTTTCTTGTTTGTTTGTTTTTTGTTTTTTTTAGATTATCAGTATGGAAGCCATAGGAATCCTCATTTGAATAGATGTCAGTAATAAGGAAAGAATATTGCTTCATGCAGGTAATTAAAAAAAACAAAACATCTTGGAATCCGTTCATCAGTTCAAAACTGCCAGAAGAGTTAGTGGAAAAGGAACAAGAGACATGGATATATTTGGGATCCCACAACTAAGCGCTTTATATAACAGACCGTACATATGTTGAAAAATAAGGTGGTGAAACAACCCACCAGATTTATTCCTCCTCCTCTAGCTCTTCTCTGAAGATGTCTGCTTGCCCAAATTCACGTGTTTCCCCTGTCTTCACAGCTGCAGTGATACCAGCAGCTGCTTTTGCTCTTAGCTCAGGGCAGCATTTCAGCTGCCAGACATCGGTTCAAATTGCTCCTTTCCTCTGCCGGCTCTGCATCCCAGCGTCCGCTCGGAAAAGTGCAGGGAATGTCATCTTCAATCCTCCCCCTCCAGGTTGACAGGGGCCAACCTCTTCTCCCTCAAGGATTCTTGACCACCTCTTCTGAGCCACTATGAGCTTGTTTTCATGAGGTGTTAGCTCATCTTCCTGGCTTCTCTGCTGAACGTGGGAGAGTTGCAGGTTGTTGTTCTCTGCTTGACCAGGGTGGGCACCAATGGGGGGCAGGTGAACCCCAAGGGCTGCGGTCAGACAGAAGTTTAAGACCAGGTGCCTCAGAGGAAATAAATCTGCCTAAGTGGTGTGAAGGTCATGGTTCAGAGTGGGATGGGAAAAGATGCGAGTCCCCATCAGGAGCTGGTAGGGAGGGTTGTACATTGCCACTCAAACCAAAACTGTGGGTCAGGATTTTCTCCAGATAGCAGCTGAAAGGTGGAACAAACTGCTCTTTCTACTGTCCCCTTTGGGTTTTGTGACTGTTGCATGAGATGGAAATGCTATTATTTTAGAAGGACCTTTTGGAAACTGAAGCTGGCTGCTCTTAGTCCAAAGCCTCTTGAGATGTTTCCTTGTGAGGATGCTGAAATGAAGGTGAAAGGGTATTTCAGATGCAACTGATTGCTCTGGGCTCTATAAAAGGTCAGCCAAGCCATTCCCACATTTTTATGTGCTTGATGGCAAAAGAGTTGGGAATCACCAAAGTGAGGTGCAGGAACTGTTTATTTCCAGCCATCCTGAACCTAAACCTGGTGACTACATCCGATGTCACTGATAAGTACAAGGGGCAGTAGAGTTTTGTTAGAACTGAAATCTGCTTCTCTCTCCACTAGGACTGTAATTAAACACCTGCATGCAACTTGGCCAAAAGTGCTCCCTGTTGTCTGGACCTAGAGAGCTGCTGAACCAATAGCTTTGAGAGCCTTTTACAGCTCCTGCTTCACCAAGGAGGGGTACCAGCCCTACCTGCCCCTGCCCGACATTTCCTGGGGCTCCCCCAACCCTGTTCTGATCCCAGGAGCCCATTCCAGCCACCCTGGAGCCATCAGCCCCACAGCAACACAGAAATAAGGCCTGTCTCAAGCTCCCCACAACCTGGCCATGGTCCCATTGCCCCAGGGAGGTACCCAATGCCTGGAGCTGGGGCTGAGCCCAAAGTCCCTCTCCAGGCCTGATCCTGATCCCACCGCAGACTGACTTCTTGCCTGTGTGTGTGTATGGCAGGGAGCTGTGCCAAATTGAAAGTTAAAATGAGTAGAGGAATTTATTGCATTTTGAACATGTTTTGGCATTTGGTTTTGTTTTTTTTCTGTATGAAATTAGATGAATCATCTCTGAACCATTTTTTCTGTTGCCAGGAAATGCTGAGAATTAACACCTATAGCTGAGCCTCAGAAGAAGGGTAGAAAACATGAATCAGAATAAAATAGGAGGATCCAAGCAACTGTATTTTTAAGAATTGTGTCTCTCAGTTCTCCTGTCTCCAAAACAGAGATGGGCTTCACATGTTTGGGAAAGTCATGGTAATGTGAAATGCAGTGCAGTTAGGTGTTCATGAAGAAAAGCCATAAAGAAGGGGAAGAATAGGAGAAAGAGTTCAAGAAGAATTTTCCTCAGTATGACTACAAACAGCTGAACACTGGACCTTTGTAAGGTCCTCTTCCTAGAACTTGTAATGTCATCTATGGTGGCTGCTCAGCTTTGTTCCCTAGAGCCAAATACCATAAAAGGGATGTGCAATAATTGAAAAGAACATGCAGTAATTGGAAAGCTACCCTGATTTTGAATTTTTTTTTTTTTAGTTCGCCAGCAGCCACTAAGTTTGGTTTGTATTACTATTTATTTTTGCAAGTTAATTGATGTTTGTTACTGGTTCTAGTAATCTATACTTTCCATGCTGTCTGGGAAGTGCTCTAAGGGGCTTTCAGATCTGATCTCTTGCAGTCTGAGCTGGCTCACATTGATAGCACCTGCAAAAAAATAAATTGTTCTGTAGGATTTGCTGGCAGATTCTTGTTACTCTACCAGAGATCTCTGTCCATACTGACAGTGCATGCAGAGACTGACAGCCTGGAATACCATTGAGATCCTGCTGTTCTTGATTTCACCTCAAAGCTAACTGTAATTGCGATGGTAAATGCATAAGAGGGAGGGAAGGAGAATTCCTCTAAGTAAGGGTCCTTCCTATCTGTTCTTTTTAATGTCTGAATTGTAGGGAAATATGTACTACTACACGTATCAAATAAGTTTGAGCGTGACTTGAGTAATGATCTCTGGTGCACAAAGAACTTTGCTTCACTTTGTGCTGCAGCCAAAGCTTTTATGTACAGAAACTGCTGTGACATGATCTGTAGCACAGCAAAAGAACAGTGAGCAAAAATTGTATTTTTCTTTCCAGCTACAGATGAAAATATGAATAGAATGGTTCTTTCACATCCTTTTCAGACTCAAGCTCTGTCAATTTTTTTCCCCATGTTCATGAGAGATGTGAGTGGATTTTACAGATTTAGCACCGTGTGATTTATTTATAGCGTGATGTGTTTGTGCACTAGAGACTTTCATGAAGCTCTGTGGTCTAATACAAACTTTTTGATCTTTGGTCTTTAGGTCCCAAATTTTTCCACTGATATTGGGGTGCCTTTCACTGAGTTAACAATAGGAAAGTGTTTCAAAGAGGGCAGTCCATTCTGAGAGGGATAAAGTATATGCTGTCTAATACTTCATACATAGAAGTGTGGAACGTCTGGCAACTTTATGTTTGGAAGTACAGGAGAAAAATATGCCTGAGTCTTTCACAGTAGCCAGAGATATAACCCCAGTAGGAGAAGCCACAGCACAGCTTTGTGCTACTTCAGTCTCTTTGAAACCGTTTTATTTTAAAGAATGGGAGTCTGTTTGCTTTCTTATCTAAGGTAAAATCGACCCTCTGGAGAGTAATACTAAGTTTTCTGACTCACTTAACTTTAAAGGAGAATTCCTAATTTACGAAGAAAACTTTCGAGGTCCGTTGGGTGGCAGAACTCGGGAGTTCTTGTCCCCTAGCTACTCAAAAACAACTCTTCACGACAAGACACCAACAGGCGAAAAACAGCCGCTCGCGCGGCCTCACAGATGTAGGAAAAGGACGATTTCGTGACAGATAAAGCAGAAAAAAACCCATTCTAATTTACCCGAAGGAAAACAAGGCGGAGCGCGGGGCAGGGGGCGAGGCGGGGCAGCGGGCGGAGCAAATCCTATAGCCGCTGCTATAAGAGAGGGCGCGGCGGGGCCGCTGCTGCTCGGAGCTGCCATG